GTGTAGGGAAGGCTAAAGGACCTATAATTTTCTTAAAGATTGTGTTAACTTTATATAAAATAATGCTCAAAAGGGGGTGAAAGTTATCAAACTCACGAAGCATGGTCATATGAACTAAGGATGCCCGAGTGAGGCCAAGGATAGTTTGCAACTGCTAAGCCATGTTCAGCTTCATCAGCAGAAGCAACTGTTGCAAAACCTAGCAACCCAGAAATACCAGCTCCAAGGAGTGCAAAAGTTCTCAAGGATTTCATGCCATCAGGCCCAGCATCTTCACGAATTTTCTTTGAATTAAGCAATGATAAAACCGGAGTGGCCTGCAGATATCATAGAACAACTATTGAAAACCAGACATAGGGGAAAAAAAGATTATATCAAAGAATTGCAAAGATTAAACCAGTTTTCTCAATCAACTCAATCTTAATGCCATAGATAACTGAGTCTAGGCAAGTGGCTTCATTGAAAAATATAAATCAACAGAGAGGAGAACTAACTCTTACAGCAGCCTGGGATTGAAGCTTCCTCCTTAGGACCTGCTGGATCATTCCTCCAGCCATTTCAGTCTATATTTTCTAAAATTAATTCACAAGAATAAGTAAATCAGTAATAGTAAACTGCCGTAATAAAATAAATAAAACTAACCAGAGAATCAAGAGCGGGAAGACTCTCAATTTATAACTATCGCTCTATACATTCGACATTCATAGAACAGACATTAGACAACTATACTAGATTGATCAGGAAGCTCATAATAATGCATACTTAAAATCAAACAAACATGATACTCAAAGTTGATTCCAACAACCCATTACTTTTCAAATACTTATACAAGTTTATAAAAGCTCAAATTGTGCCAGATATTGCATTATTCCACAATAAAGGCAGAGACTTTGCCTACAAATAAGCCTTCCTATTGCAAAGACACGATTTTATCACACAAATAAAGGCAAAAAAGAAATTAATAAATCGCAGGAAAAGCGCGAGATTTTGCATTATCTTCCAGAAATGAAGAAAACCCAGTAAAGAATACTAACAGGAAAAACAAAAAAAATTGAATCGCAAGAAGAAATTACACGGAATGAGAAATAAGTAAAACCCTAATTGGGGATCTGCTGCAGACCCAAGAAAAGGGAAAAAAAAAAAAAAATGAAAAGAAGAAGGGAAGAGGGGAAACTGACTGCAAGTGAATTGGAGGCGGATCGGAGACGATGGCGGTCAAAGGCCGCAGCTCTAAAGAAAGATGCAAACGAATTCAGGAGGAAGTGCTAACAGCTAACGAACGAGAAAATTCGGGAGAATGAACGATGTTATAATGAATAGTCGTATACTCGTATCTGAGTATCTGACAGCGTACTGTACAGTCTTAGCTTTGTTGCAATGAATAGGCCCAAGACTAAGCTGGGTTTGAGCCTAAAATGATCAAACTGGACTTGGGGAAAAGGGTACGGAAGTGATTGATCTTAGATAAAGTGGACAAAATAGGACATTTGATTTGCGCAGAATCCTCAAATCCATCATAAAAAAATCGGCAAGAAAACATTTACCTTTAAAAAAAATAATAAAGATAAATTATTTTTTTAAATAATAAATTAATATAAATCACTCTTTTTACAATAAAAAAATATCAAAATTTTGTTTATCATGTCAGTATTTTTTAACAAAAAAGGTTAAAAATTTAATGATTTATATTGATTTATGATTTGAAAAAGCAATTTATCCTTACTTTTTTTTTTAGAGGTAAATATGTTCCTGTTGATATTTTTTGAGGATAGATTTAAAGATTTTACTTTTGGTTTTGGTTTGAGTGACATAAATAGGATAATAACTTTATTTTGATAAATTAAATTAAGTTATTAAGTGAATGAAACAATTTGATTGATTATAATAATTTTTTCTTTCTTTCAAGAGGCTATAAAGGAACAAATACCCTCTTAATCCCAATAGTTTCATAAAAGCATAGATTAGTCTCTAACTTTCAAATGTAAAATAAAAAATGTTAAAAATATTATTCAAACGAACTGCAATTTTTACTGAGGAAAAAAAATAGAACAGCTATTGGAGAAGCAGGCTTAGGTATTGTTTGATTTAATCATTACAAAAGTTTATAGCTAATAGTAAATATATACTATAAAACCTAATTTAAATATTATTGTTGATAGTAAATATTGTTATTTGTCCAAATTCTTTTTACTTATAAGTTTGAATATGAAATCTTTAACTTAAAATTTTAAATTGTTATCTACTTAAGTTATCCTAAGGGGAGTTATCAACTATCTTTTTCAAAACAATAAAACCAAACATAGGCTTAATTAGCAAACACTTACCAAATATGTTTGTTTGTGGACTATAAAAGGAATGGAGAGGAGGGAAATTGTATTATTCCTTTCCCCTCTATTCTCTGAGACCTTTTGTTGTATCTCCACGATACCATTGATGTGGTATCCCGAGTTAATAAAAATAAATACACCATTTTAACATTCTTTTTCATACTTTATCAATCATCTAATGAAAAAAGTAAAAATAGTATGCTTTTATTGATCCGAGATATCATGTCAGTGTTAGTAATACTCGAAGATACAATAGAATTTTTCCTATTCTCCTCTACTCCCTTCAAATAAAAAATTTAAAAGAAAAAAATAAAATAATAGAAATTCTTCTCCTCTTTCTACCTCCATTATACTCAACTCAAATATATGGTAAAGATTGTGGACTTGTTTAACAATGGAATGATAATGCTTGGGGACTAAAATGAAAATTTATCTCGAGATCCGACAAATACCAGACATGCACCGACGCGGTGATTCCAAACTGTTGGCGCCCAACTCTTCTTCCGCACCCCAAAGTTTCTGTTGTCGGAAAATTCTTTCTCCTTCAAGCACTCTCCTTTACTCTTTCCTTCTATATAACCCAAATGGGAATTTCCTCTGGTTCCCTCAATCTGCGCAGAAATGGCGAAACCCGCCTCCCACAACCTCCTCCACCATCACCACAGCAAGAGCAACTGGTCAAAATTAGTCATCATTTTGGCGTGTGCAGCGCTTCTGGGAGCTGCTCTCGCTTTTAATGTCTTTTGGGCATCTTCTTATTCCCTCTCCTCGACGTATATTTCCGTTGCATCCAACTGGGCTCTCCAGAAATCGGGAATGATAGTTGTCCCCAGTGTTCGCACCAACAAACCTGAAGCGGTTCGCATTCTGTTCTTCTTTGTGTATTCTAAAAGTAGTTTGATTCATATTATTGTAATTCTTGGTACTGTGCTTTTGTCCCAGAAATTGATTTGTGAACTGGGTTTTGCGTTAATTTTGTTCCTTCGGTTGCTAGGAATGATGGGGCGATATTTATTTATTTTTTTTTTATGGGTTTGGTTCTTGCTACTTATATTTTGGAAGAGTAATCATAATTTTCCACACTCTAGTTACAAAAATGTTTTTTTTTTTTTTTTTTTTTTTTTTTTTTTGAGTTATTGATGAATGAATGAGCAAAATCTCATGTCAGCAGGCAGAAAATGAGATTGCCAAAAGTAAGGAGGGCCGGGGTTCTGAGAGATTCCTATCAGCAACATTTGCTGACATACCAGCACCAGAATTACCATGGGAGCAGATGCCGACAGCACCTGTGCCACGTCTTGACGGATATTCAATACAGATCAAGAATCTCTTCTATGTTTTTTCAGGATATGGCACCCTTGATCATGTGAGTTCGAATCTTATGGTGCTTAATTTTCAAATATTTAAGTGCATTTCACAATTTCTTTGCTACTATGGGTACATCTTTCTAATAGATGGCACTGCTATATCCCACAAGAGGCTGCATGCATCTATGCCTTTCAATCTTTTTCGTTTTGGTCCTAGTGTATTAGAACTTATCTTCATAGTTAGGATTGTATTTATTGTAGCATGGTAGATATGCGGTGCATTGTCTAAGTTTTTAGGTTGAATAGGTGAATGTGAATTACATGATTTCAATTCTTTTGATGTTTTATGTGAATAACCCTGTTTGTGCCCCAGGTCCACTCTCATGTTGATGTATATAATTTTACTGATAATACATGGTGTGAAAGGTTTGATACACCAAAAGATATGGCAAATTCACACTTAGGAGTGGCCACCGATGGTAGATACATATACATTGTCTCAGGCCAGTATGGTCCCCAATGTAGGGGGCCTATAGATCGTAGTTATGTTCTGGACACCAAGACAAGGAAGTGGCAGAGCCTGCCTCCTTTGCCTTCTCCCAGGTATGTGATAATGGCAAATTTATTCCTTAATTTGAAGTCTAAAAAATATTCCAGAGTGAAGTTTCAAGAGATTCTCACATTGAATTCTAAGGAGAAAATCTGTTTAGCATTTGCAAATGGATATCTTTTGAGTGCCCATATGGTTATATTAGTTCCAAATTCTTGTGAATTAGAGCTATTTAGTTGATACCTGAGAGAACCATCTTAACATGAAAATCCTCAGGTATGCTCCAGCGACTCAATTATGGAGAGGCAGACTCCACGTAATGGGTGGTAGCAAAGAAAACCGACACACCCCTGGAGTAGAGCACTGGAGTATTGCTGTAAAAGATGGCAAAGCCTTGGAGAAGAAGTGGCGGACTGAGGTACCCATTCCTCGTGGTGGACCTCATAGGTATGCTGATTCAGATAATTTTTTTTTTTTTTTATCACTAGTCCTTTGATTGATCTTTATATATAACTATGTAGGTTGTTTTTCTTCTTTAATAGGGCTTGTGTTCTGTACAATGATCGGCTCTTTGTTATTGGTGGTCAAGAGGGTGATTTTCAGGCCAAGCCTGGATCACCAATTTTCAAGTGTTCACGTAGGCACGAGGTATTTAATAGCTAAATCAATCTAAATATCAATCAACAGCATCATAGGAGTTTGTACAAGTCCCAATTCTTATTGTATGATTTTGTCTTCTCAAAAGCCCTGTCTTGCCTGTTTCAGGTGGTTTATGGCGATGTTTACATGCTAGATGGAGAAAAGTGGACAAAGTTACCTCCAATGCCAAAACCAAACTCCCACATAGAGTGTTCTTGGGTACTTGTCAACAATTCAATTATTATCACCGGGGGTACAACAGAAAAGCACCCTGTAACCAAAAGGATGATGCTAGTTGGAGAGGTTTTCAAGTTTGATCTAGACTCAAAGGTATCCATCTCCCAACACTAGAAATCGTTACAGCAGGACAGATACATTATATTGTTAAGGTTTTTCTTGGCTATTATTTTCTGATGGCTAACAGTAAATGTTTGTTATATTGCTTTATGATAGACATGGTCAGTGATTGGAAGGCTTCCTTACCGAGTGAAAACCACTCTGGCGGCATTATGGGATGGATATTTGTATTTTACATCTGGACAGCGAGACAGGGGACCAGATAATCCACAGCCAAGGAAGGTCATTGGAGAGATGTGGAGAGCCAAACTTGAATTGTGATCAAGGTTATGCACCTGATCTTGTAAGAATTGTTTTATTTTATATTTTTGGCCATGTAGGTATATTATAATTATAGGTTCATTATTCTCGGGAAATTTTGTTTTTAGACCAATGGTTCTATACTTGTACTCCCCATCTTACTTGGGAGACTAATAGGATATTATTCACAATCAATCCTATTATTCACAATCAATCCAATGAATTTATTTAATTTTAGATGTCACTTTCTTCTTCTTCTTCTTCTTCTTCTTCTTCTTCTTCTTTCAATTGTTAATGTTACCCTAATTTACAAAGAGAAGCTGGACTGAGTTTGATAACTAAATTCACAAAATTTAAAGAAAAAGTTCAATTTTAACATGGTAAGATGAATTACAGCATTATAAAATTGACAGAAGATCGATCCACTCAAGGATGATCATCTAAGTCTGTATTTACAAGGAAAAACCAATTATTCATGAATAGCCAAATTACCCCATGCACTCTAGGCCTCGAGCCACAGATCATCCCAAATTTACTAATATTAATGGAGCTCTCTACTTGATGAGAATAAGAAATAATCAAGAGGGGGACAGGAGCTACATATATGCTGAAGAATAAGAACCAGTAGAAAAGGCACATCCCGGCTTCCACTGCCAGAAACAAGCACAATTTCCTCTCATCAATGCCAGTAATAAACTTCCCATCTGCCTTAGCTGTGCCTTAAGGAGTCACAATTCTTTAATATACCTGCAAATTATCCCCAGGGGAAAGGAAGAGGAAAATCAATACGGCATAGGGAATGTAGTCGAGTAGTCATGGACTCAAGGCACACACATTTTTCCCTGTTCCCCAGACATCTTCCATGAAAAATTTTGGATTTTCTTAGATTTAATTTTCCTTCTGCTGATTATCATTAACTAATTTACTTGAATCATTTTTGTCATCTCTAAAAGGCTCAGTTAAATTCTTCAAATAAACCTCTGTTTAATACTTTTGTTTGACAACCAAGATGATCTACAGTTTAAACTATCTTTAGTGGCTTATGATATATATATATATATATATATGCTTTTTTGAAATAAATACCAACCTCGTATAGCCTATCAGGGCCAGATATATATGCTGTTTTAATAATCTTCATGCAGGTTTTATTCAACTGACCTGACAAATGCTCACCCATGCAACAATATATGCCCAAGTACTGCCAAGAAGTTCCAGAGTTTTGCTAAGTTACAGTGGGTACTGGTATTTCTGCAGAAAATACATGCAAAATCAATATAAAAATAATGAAATAGTCAAGGCTGCACACACAGAGAGAGAAGAGAGAATGCCTTTTATTTCAATATAGGAGCATAAGGTGCAGGGCATGGTGCTACAGCATCATCAGGTAACTGGTATATCAAATGTACTGTTGCCTCCAGGCAAGCATGGAGCATCTTCTTTTCCAACCTCACAATCTGAGTGGCAACTCGTCTTTTAGGGTTCAAATTAGGATCTGACAACTAAAGCAAGGAACAAATGTCAATTACAACTTGGTCAGTAAGAAGCTGGGATCTAACATCAATAATCCAATCAAATATTTTCATTAAGCTGAACTTACCAAAGACTCATCTTCATCCAGTGTAGTAGGGTAGCCAGTGAGGCGTCCCCTGAAATAATGAGCAAGCTGATCTAACACTGCTCGTTCCATACAGGGACTCACCTGTAAAACCAGTAAAATTCACCATAACTCAGGAAGATGAAAACAATTCTGTTTAGTTTAGCTATGGCAAATTTGCAAAATTAGGGGCAATTTCCCAAGACCTATAACCACAAAAATTAGAGGTGTAAATCAGAGGTGTAATGAATTTCTTCATAGATCACCAGATCCATGTGCAATGTAATTCATAGGAAAAGGACAAGACTAAATGTCGAAGAGATGAACTAACCGGGCAAACTGGACCTTGAGAAGAAAGAACAGATTGCATATCAGAAGGATCGGTAACATAGCCCAATCGCAAATATGGAAGCATATCTAAGACAGCTTCTTTTTCCTTCCCCACACAAACCTGCAGTAAAGGTTCAACAAAGATCACATCAGGAATATCTCTACAATATTTATTTTCTATTTTACGTTGAAGGGCTTGAGTTCATACATGAAAAACTTGTACTGACAGTCTACCATTCCTTTGAGCAACCAGTCTCTTATCCTGATATTGAGGATCCTCGGTATTCAAGGCTGCCTGGAACATACGGTACATAAACTCAGAATGCATATCATATTGCAGGATTGGTTGACTTGAAAACATGAAATTGCAAATACAAGATAGAAAATCCCTAGTTACCTGAACCACCATCCTATCATAGGAATTATCTTCATCAACAAAGCCATAGTTAATAAGCAATTTTGAGTTAGGCTGAGGTCCACACCTTCAATGACAACAAAATTAAACAGTGAGACATACAAAGGAAGCAACAAACAAGAGGAAAGATTTAAATGAAAAGATAGGATTACCGAAGGCAAACTATGGGACATAAGGTAGATGATATACCAGACAACAATGGATTCCCCAGCCTTATATGGACGATCAACCACCAGTTCAACAGCACCATCAACAGCACTTAACATTGCCTTGCAATTGCTGCTGTAAGCTAGCAGTGGGGGTCCAAGTGGAACCAAAGCAAATCTTCTAGCCAAACTGACTTTCTGAGCTCAAAGAAGAATTAATCTATCATTTGAATAAAATGATTCTAAAAATTTTATTTTCAAAAGCAGAAGTAAAAGAAGATGAAAAACAAATCTTGGTAAAAAGATGATGGCTAAGGCAAAACTGCATTTAGAATGGACTAAGATGAAACAAAAAGGTACTCCTAGTGGGACAATTTACCTGTAAATGCACTACACAAGACTGTACTGCAACAAAGGCTTGTTTGAAAATCTCAAATGGAAAGGCCTCAGTAGGTATATCATATGGGTATTGCTGCAAAGCAAAGTAGTGAAGCAATATCAGATATGCAGCTCATAACTGCATTCCCCAACTAGTTAGGAGAAACTCTATATTGAAAAAAGGGGGGGGGCGGGAATGGCAAGATTCATATTAACAAAAAAAGTACAAATGCATTCATCTACCAGTTAAATACCTACAATTTTATACCTGAAACAGAGACCCAGCCATAAACCAGACAGTGTCAAGCTCGTCATACTCTCTTTTTATACCTTTAGCTCTTTCAAGAACTTCATCCTATATGAATGAAAGAATTCAGTCTTGAGACTTCAACAACCATAGACCATCCTATCAGCTATAGTAATACTTTGTCACAGGTGTTACCTTAGTGGGGCTACCAGTTAGGTAAGCCAATTCAGCTTTTGACCACAGAAGAGGAGATTCCACCGCCAGGTGGCCCCTCCCTCTTTGACGATCAAGCTCTTTGATATAAGGATACCAGAATGATTTCTTTCCTTGCTTCTTCTCATACATTAAGTACAAAGTTAAGCATGCTAATTCTGACAATTTGTTTGTGGTCAGAAGCTCCGCTGTATACAACACAAAGCAATAGACATAAGTTTACAACTGAATCAATTCTAATCATAAAATGAAAATTCAACATCTGCTCAAAACCATTGTAATATACAGTTGATACCACATAGCTGGAAAAGATGAAAGAACCATAAATTCTCAACCATTTCTGTCAAAAAGCCAATGCCACCGTCTAAATATCCATTACAATGTACCTAACAGCAGTCCAGACTGCTGCCTAACGTTATAATTGCTAACTAAATACACACATTAATAAAAATTTCCCACACAAACCTTATAATAAATCAACACACAAGCAAAACTTATTAAGGGTATTTGAACAATTTCACGCATTTAAAATGTCTGGACATCCCCATTTTCACTTTCCTCGCACAAATCTCCCATGCAAAAAGCCAGTAACCAATGAATTCTTGATAAATAAAACCAAACAAGGAGACAGGAAACATTTTTCATTTTATTTTATTTTTCAATGAATAGACCTTACCGACAGTTTCATTCCCCAGCACTCTCTCAAGCGTCACAATTAACGAATTTGGCACCGAAAACGCAACATCACCCGCCTGTGAAAAGAAAATCCGCTAAATGCTTAAAAATTAGTCAAAAACAGAGAAATCAGAGATTCATAAATTGGCAAAATCACCTCTAGATCCTCGCTCGCTGCAATGTAATGTATAGAGCGATGCCTCTCGTCATGAGATGGCCTCTCTTGGAGCACAACCTTGCATGGAGGCAACCCTTTCTTGTGCATCCAAGATTTCAAGTCTCCAAATTCATCTTCTTTCTTGCTCACAACTTCACTCCTCTGCTTCCCATCTTCCTTCCTCGAACCAGCCAATAAAGTATCAGAACTGGACGCAAAACAAAACCCACTTCTCCTTTTCCAACAAAGCCTAGGGTTGGGATTCTTGGAGAACGGAGACGCAAGGCGGCGCAGAGAGCGAACCGAAGGCAGAGTGCACTTCAAATGCAAAGAACTGAGTTCCATACCGTTTATCATCAGATTGCTTCAACAGAAAAGGGATTTGGTAGGAGCAGGAGATATTTGTGAAGAAGGATAAGACTAAAGAGAGGGGTAGCTTTGAGTGGGAGATGGAAATGGGGCCTGTTTGTCGTGGGGATGGACGTGGTGGACCAATCTGAGAAGTATATATAATTTGCAGGGGAAATTGAGAATTTGCTTTATTTTTAATTTGACCCCATTTTGACGGCGGAGATTTGCCTTTTGTTTTCTGGGACTTTCTCAGAAAATAAGGCCAGGGGGAGGTGTGGAGTGGAGCATTGGAAAGATAGGGGTATTTGGGTAATTTCACATATACAGAAAAAAAAATAGTAACCGTGTTCCCATTTGGGTCATTTTCTAATCCAAGCATTTTCTGGGCTTAAGTATTCGGGCTGAAACTTTGGGCCATTAACGTATCGGGCTCAGTTAGGGAATTTTCACTCAAACAGACTTTTATTTCAGCCAGCCCAATGACAATCCTTTTATTCTAGGCAAAAATACGACATAAGGACCCGAACTTACACAAAATTTGTAATTTTGGACCTAAACTTCAACTGTATTCAGTTAAGGTCCCAAACTACACGCAATTCTCAAATAAGATCCTAATAGGATGGAAAACTAGCTTCCATCAAATCTCCTAGTAACTCCATTAATGTCCGTCACACTCCACCCAACTAGAACACCACTTGAATGGTTGCGCGCGCAATCCTGGACGCAACGCTCATCTCCCTCCATCGTCAGATTTCTCAATACATTGCTGTCGATCACCCAATCTGAGCCAACTGTGCCGATGCATCTGCTCTTCTAGATGTCGTGGATGAGTTGATTGCCAACATCAAGGAGTGGAGTCCCATGGCCAGAGACAAATTTGTGGGCGCGCACCTTGTACGCGCCGACGGCCTTGTGTAGCAGGCCAAGTTTCGCCCGTTCTTTAATGCAACAAGGTGTGGACTCTTTTGAACTAAATGGAAACACAGAGCTGACTAGAAACTTGTTGTTCGAATTCGACTATGACAATGAAGAAAATAATGACAAAATTCTCCAGAACAGTGTTGACTAGATCCTCGTGGCAGAATCGATCACCGACTACGACATCATAATCGACGCTCTTCCATCGGGTTCCATCAACAACCTCCACAAGATCACAAAGCGAATGGTGGTGGCCAGGTTTGGTAAGGAGTGCTCGCACGTGTATAGCACATGCAGGAGGGAGTTT